TTTTATTAGCTTTCAAAAAAGATATACACCACTGAGGAAATAGGAAATTATGACAAGTATCAAGAGACCCTAACACGTTCATTGGAAATGCCTTCTTTTTCAGAGGTTAAGGATACATTCTAAAGTGTCCATGAGGTAATGTCTGTCCTTGAGACTTGCCGACCCATGCAGAACGCAAAGCGGCTACAGGATGTCATGTAGGAGCGTATAAAACACATAGTTTTGCAGGATATGGTAAATTCATATTTCAGGAAAAGATTAGAAAGGTAATCAGAGTAATTGCTGTGCTTATTTCCATTTCGAATGAAAGTGTTTGGTGAAGAGATTCGAAAGCTGATTCCACCACAAGACGACGGCCTTAGTGGAACATTCATGGTGACGCTGTTTTCGAGGTAGCCCCCTTCGATTCCGGTGAAAAAGTCCTTCACAGGACGAACAGCATCAGAGCAAGGTATCATCGTCACAACCGAATTCAAGCTAGCAAGTCAAGAAAACGCATCAGAATATCCTTAAAAAACCGTATATATACTCTATATCTGGCCTCTTTACTCAGGTACAATGTGATTTAGTTAGTCACGGTCACATGTCAACCTTGAAGCCTGTGAATGTGTCTGTCTCTGTATATGTATATTCCTGTTTGTAGTTGCCTTTGCACGAAAGCAGCAATGATGGTTCGTTAGCTTGAATTTTGTTGTGACGATGATACCTTGCTCTGATGATGTTCGTCATATGACAGACGAAAGCTTAGCATCTTTTCACCAAAATCGAAGGAGATTACCTGGGAAACAGCGTCAACATGAATGTTCCAGTAAAGCGAATCGACAGCTAGTCAAGAGGAATACGCCGTCGTTTTATGGTGGAATCGACTTTCGAATCTCTTCACCAAACACTTTCACTCGAAATGGAAGTAAGCACAAAAATTATGAAATAAGAGATTCCTCGAAACCCAACTTTTCTTCGCAATCAGAGTATGCAAAGCGACCTAAGAGAAAATAGTGTGGGAGTCACCTGTGATGGTTGGATAGGAATAGGGTGAGTTAGTGGGATGAACAATCAATTAAGAGGAGGGGGCTTGAATAGCTTATGAAGGAAGGGGATTTTCCTTCCATTGCGAAATGCATAAGAGACCTCATCAAAAAATAATCAAAACCGCAATCAGGATCAGCGTTGATCTAGCCAGTCTCAGCAAGCCCATTATCGTTTGAAAATTATTAGAAAGCCATGAATTTTGTTACATTGAGGAGAAAATGCCAGTTTCCATCAATCTGATATCTTACCCTGATTGGTAAAGCAACGATAGCTTGGTCCCAGACTGTCAAGAGCTGGTCAAAAATGTGAAAAAGAGAATAATGTGAATATAAATTCGGAGAGCGGTGCCTACGATTTGCAGGTCATGCCCATATATGATGTAAGGGTAGTCTTGAAAACCTGCATATAAAACCAAAAATATGTAACGCAGTCTATTGCTATAGCAAATGGAAACGTAAGATTTATTCATATGATTGTGCGAAAATTCAACTACTAGTCCTTCATCAACTTAAACGAAATGGGGTGAATACAGTTCGCGCATAGTGACTTAGCAGTGATTCGGCGACAACTTTTATATTTAATTTTTTCACGAGTAACACTCTTAAAGTATTCTCTATTAATTTAAGGTTCTGAAAGTTTTTACGGTTTGGCCAATAGTGTTTGAGACAATAAAATACTATAATTGACTTTATAAAAGCCTAACAACACTGATTTACCATTTCACCCCTTCGACATTGTTCTCAAGTATCAATTCAATAAAGACAATTTAGTTTAGGTCGACCTATTATAATCAACTAGGCTCGATTTAAAGAGGATATCG